ATATAGATTTTAAGATATAGCTAAGATTCTTGAGATAGTAACTATGTCATTATTTTTTTTTCCTTTGAGTCCCAACACTTCTTATGCATAGGAGGCATCTAATCATCATTTGATGACCAAATAAAATTTTGTTTCCATTAAGACCATATCAGAGTTCTACTATCACCGATGACTCTCTCTCTCTCTCTCTCTCTCTCTGCCTCTTTCTCTATCTCTTTTATTTTTGAGTTATATCTTTACCTCATTTTGGAACTCATTTGATGACCAAATAAAATTTTGTTTCCATTAAGACCATATCAGAGTTCTACTATCACCGATGACTCTCTCTCTCTCTCTCTCTCTCTCTGCCTCTTTCTCTATCTCTTTTATTTTTGAGTTATATCTTTACCTCATTTTGGAACTCCACAAGCTTATAATCCATTGCTGGCAGTAACATTCCTTTGCTTTCTAAATATAATTCTTATGATTCAAGGAATACTTTCTCCCACCATATAACATCCAAAAATTGATTAATAAGACCATATTAATCTTATCCACTGTGTAACATGACATATCATAATCATATTGCCTTGTAATTCCAGTATGACAAAAGATTTATTATTATATGTGAATACCTCCCTCACTCCCATTCCATATTATTTTAATATTTTAAATGTTGCTGTCTGATACTCTTCAAACTATGCTTCCTACATTAGCAATTAAGTCTTTCTGTGGCTATTTTTATCTAAAAGTTTCTAGAAATGTTTACTGTTATTCCTGACCTGGAAAGACAGATAATGAACAAGAGTCCCAAAATGTAAAGTGAGGCTGGATTTATATATAAAATGAATAAGGTCTTCAGTGTAGCTGCTGCATTTATTTTTGCAATCTTATCAGTCCTGATGGCTGTGTGGTCAGTTTTTCTATGGTGATGTTGCTGCAGGCTCTTCTGGTCATCCTAGATAGCTACTGCCTGAAGGAAGGTTATGACTGTAAAGTCTGTGAACATTTCATGAGTCAGAAATGTAAGTATTCCTAGTTATTACGATGCTTTCCATGTGCTATGTCTGACTGACACTAGAAAATATAGGGTACTATTCTAATTCATAACTAGTTATTGGGTTGGGCTGTGTCACTTATGAGCTGGCAGCATCTGCTGGCAAAGCAAATAGCTTGCAGTTCACAGATTTATGAAGCACTGGCAAAAGGCAGAAGTAAAAGAGTGAGGATAATGGTCCTTGATGCAGAGCAAACTTTTACTGGTGTCACACGATAGAAGACAGCAGGGTCCACAGTAATAGAAAGATCGTATAACCATATTCCCTATGGCAAAGATAAAGCAAGGAAAAATTACCAGGTATTTCAGGTAAGCACCATAGGCTGCTGATCTCTGCTGAAGGAAAGGATGCCATACTTAACTTCTAGCACAATAGAATTTGTTTATCTTACTTTGGGAGGAGGAGCTATAAGAAAACATTTTTCATTCTATAATATAGGTCAACGTAAGACATTTTTTACAGAAAATATAATCATAGATGACCATATTAGAAAAAATCTGTTTCATAAATAATAATGTGCAATCACATTGCATCATACATGCTGGAACTTCTAAGTATGGCTTACATTACCTATATTCAATAATTAAAGGTAGATGTGTTCATCATAACAGGGTCCCCATTGTGACTAAAATAACCTTCTGTTGTAAGCACCTGTTTATGTGTCTGATTCCCCCCTTGGCATTGACTGTCTTCTCAAGGGCAGAGGTCAGTGTTGCCCAGCCTTGTCCATAATCACTCAGCATGGAACTCATCTTTGTAGCAACTTGATGAATATTTTCAGAATTCATTTGAATAGTTAAGAAAACCCTCCTTCCCCCCCCCCACACACCGGATTCCTTCAGGAAAATCACAGAAGTATATCCCCTAGAGATATACACCATCTCAGAAGGTCACTCTTCCTCAAAGTCAGCCATCTACTAGGTGAGGATAGGTTCCTAAATGGTATTTGAGAAGTCAGCACTTCTAAAACTCCACACTATAAAAGGAAGTAAGCTTTGGATTTCTCCAGTAATTTCAGAAAGGTAGTTTTCCCTAGAGGGAAAAAAAATTCCCCCAGGGAAGATACTTTTCTTTTTTATTGGCCATAATCACCTGCCTGGCTGATCTGAGTAGCAGGGGTTGGAGCACTAATGTGCCACTCTGGTAAGAATGCACACGGTACTGCTGGCTAGCGGCCAAAAATGGGCCTACAAATGCAGAATGTGGACACACTGGATGATTCAGCGACAGCTGGGGCTTTGCCTTCAGATACATTAAAGAGCAGGGAATTGGAAACCAACTCACTCAGAAAGACAGACATAAGGAACATAAACAAATAAGGCCATGGAATGTCTAAATATACTCCCTTGAGATTTTCTCCCCAGAGTCCGACCAGTTGAAGACTCTGGTTAATTCTCTTCCCAATTCGTTAGGAGAAAAACAGTCTTGGTTTTGGCAGGTGGAGCACAACATGGATTTTGTAGTCTAGGGAGTTGCTGAGTCCTCCGGAGAATGTGTCTATAACATGGATGTGGCGAAGTTGATTTGAGTCATAATGCTGAAGCTTGCAGAGCAATGAAACTGTGATTTTTATACACAGCATATACTGATTAGTTAAAAATAAAGTTGTTAATGTGATGCAGAAAAATATGCAATAATCACTAAGAATTTAGCATAAATGTTGATAGGTTCGAAATACGAGAGAGAGGAGTAAAAGCTGCCACATCCATATTTTATGCTCTACTTTTTTATGTCAGAGTTGGAGATTATCAGGTTTCTTGCTCAAGCTAAAGTTTGTTCAATGTTCATTTAACTCAAAGTTTTATTAATCTGATTAAATGTTTTCTTTTGGATAAGCCAAATTTAACTATTACATAAAATATAAGTAATTCCCAGAGTAACCAAGTATGACTGCTTATTTTAATCTGAATTTAACTACAGTATATTTTATCTAAATTCAGGTGCAAGCCACATGACATAATGCAAAGGAGTTGAGTTCAACTTAAACTCTAAATAGAATGCCATTTATTAGCATTTCCATGATTAAAAAAACTATTTAGTACTAAAACCTGGACATGTTTTTGGTTTTGTTTTGGTTTTGTTTTAATTTTTTTAAAAGATGATCGGTAAGGGGATCTTAACCCTTTACTTGGTGTTGTCAACACCACGCTCTCCCAAGTGAGCCACAGGCTGGCCCTAAAACTTGAACATGTTAAAGAGGAAAAACTAACATGCCATTTATACCGTGAGTTTACATAGCCCATATTATGATCAGTGCATCTCTTTCACAATTAATTTGGGATTAGTTAGAGAGAAGTTAGTATCTGGTTGGCATCCTCATTGTAGCAGAATTTAAATTTAGAGAGAGAATCTCTTGAAGGGGCCACTGAAAGGGGCTTATCAATGCTTGTGTTGGGGGAACATCACCTGGACTCCATTGACCTATGTACTATTTATTACATACCTAGGATACAAGTATTAAGTGCTATGTCAGAGAAAGTATGTCCAGATGGCCCTGCCTTTTGAGGAGTTTAGAACAATTTAATTTATTTGATTTGAAAAGACTGGCGTGCATGGGAACTGCTAGTGAAAATAATGCAAGAGAAAATATGAAAAAGGCCAGAACTACCTCTTTGAAAGCTCTCTCCGTGTATGCTCCATGAATTTCAAGAACTTCAACTTTTCACTAGTGCCATGTCACAATGTCTGATATTACAATACAGCAGAATAGCATGTGTTTTCAACTATCCCCTTGTCTGCGCTTCTAGATTTTTCAGATTAATCTGTTCTGTGCAGTTCACTTTTATAGAAAAAGTTCTATTTGTGTTGAATTAAACTGTGATAATTCATTGCTACTGAATGCTAATTTATTCAAAGGGTACTAGAAAGAGGCCCACAGAAGACTTCACAAGGGTAGAGATTGCAATCTGTGGCTACTGGATTTACTATTAAATTATAACCATAGGAGTATAAATTAAAATGGAATTACATTTCTATAATGCCTTAAAATAAAGAAAAAAGAAAGAAAGAAAATAATGCAAGAGAACGTACAGAGAGAGGAAAGTCATCTAAGGAGCATTCAAAAAAGAGAGATTGGTGTCTGATCATGCCTAAATGAGGAGGGAAAGATCTGACTGGCAGAAATAGAAAGGGTGCAAGGGACAGAGTGTAGATTCAGGAGAAAGGTGAAGCAGGAATAGGCACGTATGGCATGAGTTGAGAATGGTAAAGCCATGCTGTCTTATTTGAGAGTGATGACCTCTGGTGGTAAGTCTGCAGAGAGGTCATTGGATAGTTGGGGTGGAATCAGGTAAAATTGAATCCCATATTGAGCCCCAGAAAGGTTAAAGGACTTTCTTAGACATATTCTTAAATTGTGGCAGAGATGTGACTCAGCTTTAAATGCTTTCTTTGATACTATACTGCTGTCTCTAGGTTTAATGCAAGTCACCTGTCTGGGTTGTACATGGCAACAGTAAAGTAGTGTTGACTCTGGATTCAGAACCATCCTATCACAGTGATGGGGTTAACTTTCATAGGAATTTTCCATAATATCATTTGAAATGGCCTAGACATTGTCTAGCCAGCTTACCTAAAAAACATCAGTTTGTACTTTTAGTGGAATCTTTATATTTACTTCCATTTTACTGTACTTTTTCTTGACTTTAATAGATGAGATGCCATTGCTGTGGTGTGTTTAATTTTCTAAAATGCAAAACAGTGCACAAATAGGACTTGTGGGTATCCCAGCTCAGTTTTCTGTATAGCACAAAGAATCCCGTAGGAACAGTCTACAGCTGTGATGCAACCTCTCCTCTCCCAAATCTACTAATGTAGGGAAAATGTAATTGCACCATTATTACACTATATGTTAACATCGGAGTGGTCAAACTGTCTATGGATTGCCATGACAACCCCATCTAAAATAAAAGTGAAGCTGGTATCCACAACACATTTTTACCTAAAGTTTATTTTGTCTTCTAGGCTCTTCAATGGCCAACAAGGAATCATTATTCAAAATTTTAGCACAAGATCCATTCTCACTGTTACCAATGTGACACAGGAACACTTCGGCAACTATACTTGTGTGGCTGCCAACAAGCTAGGCACGACCAATGCGAGCCTGCCTCTTAACCGTAAGTAATGCAGTGTTGCCAAACTACTTCCTGGGCCTCTTGGCTCCTGCACATCAGTACAGATAAAACCTAAAAATGGAGTATATTCATTTTAGAACTCAGTGCGTTGTGACACATTCCTTACACAGAAGGAACTTTGCTTTCAAATAATATGGGTGTTTCAGAATTTTGTAATCCCTGTAAAAGTGAAAATGTATATTGAAAAATATCATAGGGCTGAAAAAAGAAAAAATATATATATACATAAATAAGGCTAACTGAAAAATATCTTCTGACTGAAGACGCTTGGTTTGGTAGGGTTTTGTTTGTTTTTTTGGTTTTTAAAAAAATGCGTTATGATATCTTGAAGCATAGATTAATGTGCTTAAATTTACTCTTGGTTGGTTTTCATTAGACATTCATTTTGGAATAGCCAGAATTTCACATGCTATAAATAAAATGAAATAGTAGGTAAATGATCATGGACAAAATATTTTATGCATATAGATAACGTCTTTACTGAAAACTATTTTGAAGTGCAACTTAAGGTTTTACTAAAATAAATATTACATTCCTAATGTATCTTAATTACTAAGGACTAGAAATAAGTAAAGAAGAGCAAACATAAGGAACAGTTAAAAGTAGAAAAACCTATAGCAATGCTTTCTCCTGCAATTAATTTTAGCGCTGTTTAGAAACTGAGTAACCAACAAATTGTTACAACCATAAAATATTCGTAATTTTGAAATTTAGTGTTTTTCAAAATGTTCAAACATGACTACGGAGAGTACACTGTCTTTTCAGTTCCACAAAGTTATCTGAATTGTCCTTATCTTTTTAGTGTTACATTTTTATAGTAACCACACACACACACACACACACACACACACACACACACACACACACACACACACACATATTATCATTCTGTGATAGTAAGCTATCCCTGAGAATGCAAACATTGTGGAGTTCATTGCCGCCACGATAGTTTCCATTTTGCAGAAATGGGGATGGGATATATGATGTTCTTACTGCTTAAAAATATCCTACAATAAGTTTCATGATTATGAGCATTGAATTATCATATTTAAGAATCTCTGATATTAAATATCAGTTTATATCACATCTTGTACTATTCCAGCTTAATAATCCTTAATGTTTTTTAGTATTCACCTCTGAAAGAAAAACATTGCCATGCAATATAGTATACAAGGGTAGTTCAAAAAGTACATGGAAAGATTTGAATTATCTTTTAATTCTGTATTTCCACAAACTTTTTAAGTACCCTGGTATATTTGCTTAAGTTTCTTCCATGACAATGATTTATTTAGTGTAATTATGAATAACATAAACCATTGAAAATATTACAGAGCACTGTGAGTTCCAATTTAATGTCAATGTTGATACTTCTTTGGTATGTTATTAATATTTTAAGTAGTTTAAATATTCAAGAACCTGAAAGAGTAAATGAATTGACAAGGCAAAGTAAAGAAAAATTTAAGGCTTAATAACATTAACTTTTTGCTACTTAAATTTCTAAATCACATCCTGATTTTCAAAACTGGAGCCTTAATGAGTGTGACAAGTTAGGAACAAATGTCTCTTACTTAAACGTTTGTTTTACTCTGGCAACCTTAACACTATCATCTGGAAATAATTCACTGCTGCATGTGGAATCTTCAGAATGGACTCTCAGGATCTCTCTCTGTCATTGACTTCCTGTATGTTGAGGGGCTACTAAATGTTAGTACGATTTTATCAATTTGTTAATAAAGACAAAATGTGCAAATCTTGTCTGTAATTATAAACATCACTCTGGTACTCTGAAGAAATATCTGTATATTCTGAATTCTTATATGATCTCATCTGAAGCCCTTATTTCACTAAGTATTTCTATTTTGTACTACAATTATTTTTATACTTATTTTCATCTACCCACCAAATTCTAAGTTCTTTGAGAAGACAGTGTCAATGTCTGATTAATTATTTTATCTCTCATATCACCAAGCACAGTGCCTGGTATTTAATAGCAATTAGTAAATCTTTAGTGAATAAATAAATTAGTTAAACATTTAGTAAGTGAATGAATGAATGAATAAGTGAGTAAATAAACTTTGTTTTAGCTCTAGAATGTGTACTTGTAACCCCTAGATATACAAGACAATATCACTCTAATTACAAATAACACTTATTGTTAGCTTACTCTGGACCAGACTTTATTCTAATTTCTTTATATGAATTTGTTCTTTTAATTCTCACACAATCCAAAGAGTTAGATTCTATAATTCCTTTCTTATGGATAAGGAAACTTAGAAAGAGAATATAAGTGTGGCCAAAGTAAAATGATTAGTAAATGACAGCAAAGAATTGAACCCTGACAGCCTGGCTTTAGAGTTCAAGCTTTTAACCACTACATTCCACTTTCTCTCACTATAAACGTAAAACCAGCAATAAAGTGAAAGATTGTTTGTATCATTTGCTACATACTCTTCAAAAGATAAAATCTCTACATATAGCATAATTGATCTTCTCGTAGCTTTTATTCACTTTTCTTTAATAATTAGGGTGCTAGTCTTCAGTATATAAAAACTTAAAAAAAAATTTAGGTACAAACAACAACAAACGAGATATAAAATTTGAATATATGAAAAGTGAATGGGGTTGATGTTTACCCCAAAATTTATTATACAAACATGAGACTTGAGGACATCTAAATATACATTTTTATGGAATTAAACCTCCTTGGAATAGTGCAATTATCTAACATAGGAATTGTAAATCTACAAACTATATATAAGGGAAGGCGTTTTCTTAAAGCTTATAAGATGCTAGCTGGAGAGTGGGTAATATGTCCCTTAATGAGAACTCCTGTAACATCTTCACAAAGTCGCTAAATGGATGATGCTCAAGCTCTAAAATGATCCAAGACTAGGAGCCAGTACTAAGCTGATCTAATACTGGCCTATGACTTGCTAAAGAATTTTTTTAAAAATTGCTGCTGGAGATCAGCCCTTCCTTTAGGTAAGGAAATGTATAAAGCTAACTTGCCCATCTCCTTGTTCAGATAAAAGGAGCAAAGGGTCTGCCACCTAAATATGTGATGATATTTGGCACACGTTTTGAGTAAGAAAATTTTCATGTTTTCATGATTTGTATCCCTGAATAGTTAATAAGCTAAAAGACAGGGTGGTTGGACATATGGGTTACCTGGTATAAAGCAAATTAATAGCAAACACTCAAACTGGTTCATAATAACATTCTGACAGAGCTTTAACCACTGGGAATCAGCTCCTTTTCTATACTATTTAGGTTAAACCCTGAGACTATTTCACTCTATTTCTGGTATGTAATAACTCACATTTTCCAAATCACCAAAAAGATAAAAAAGACAAATTGTAATTTAGAGTTTTGCCATAACTAATACTATCAAAAAGGAAATATAAAACTTTTTGGTATGTGGATGTGTTGTGTGTGTGTGTGTGTGTGTGTGTGTGTGTGTGAATGTTTGAGTGTGTTTGTTTCACATAATGGGAGTCAAGCAGGTCTTGGTTTGAATCACAATTTTACTGTATATTAGTTGTGTGTGATGTTATGTAAGTTACCTAAAGTCCAAATCCTCAGTTAACTCATTTATAAAGTGAGGGCAGTTATAGCTCCCACCTTACAAGATAGGAATTAAAAGGGATCATGCATATAACACATTTATCACTCAGACAGGAACAAGGTAAGCATTCAATAAATGTAAGTCATTTCTGTTATATCATTACATCTCCCAAGAGCACTTAATTCAATTCATTAGAAAAAACAATGCACAAATGACTGACATTATTTGACAACTGTCTGCCCAGTACTTTACTGAAGGCTTATTTGGTAAACAGTCCCTAGTGAGCCAGGGTGAGGACATACAAACTTCAAATAATATCCCAAATCTAGTTCATAATTTAACCTCATCCCTTGCTCAATGCATTAACCAGAATTTTTGGCACTAATTCTTGATTAAATATGATGCTTACAGCATAGCATCAGACATTTGGGAGATTCAAAGAGTAAAGGCAGAACTAATATAATAGTTTTATTTTGAGGCTCAGATAATCCACTCAATAGCAACATTAATTTTATATCTCTATCTTTCTCTAACTGTATCTAAATATAGACTGCCTACAGTGTAGGCACTGTGCTAGATGTCAGAAAGAAAGGGGTTAATAGAACTCGAACCTCATCTTCCAGGAGTTCTCAGATGAGTAATAGGAAAGGGACAAGAAAACAAGCAACTATAATCGAGTATAGTCAATGGTTCCATATTGGGGCAGAAAAGAGGCTCATAATGCAGTCTCAATGGCCATGAAAGAACTTTCATCTAGAGTAACTAATATCACTATTTGAATTATAACTAAGGTACGACTAGAAACACCATCTTTGCCATCACCGTCTCATTTTCAGAGGCAGAACTTTACAGGAATTTATTAAACAACAGTGGTGAACACAAAGTTCAGTGACACAAATGAGAGAGTGATCTACTCAGTCTCCATAACTCAGGGCAAGCTATAGAGGAGATGGCCCTTGAGCTAAGGGTGAGATTGGCTTGAGCCTGGGTGTAGGAATGGTGATGGAAGAGAAAGAAGGGCACTCCAGTATGAAACAGCTCATGTAAAGACATGGCAGTATGAAGCAATCCGAAATGTTGGAAGACACTATTATACTTTAATGTGGCTAGAGTAAAAGGTAGGCGAAGGAGAGTATTGAGAGATGAGGCTGGAGAAGTCAGCAGACATTAGGACAAGGAAAATTGAAAATGAGTTTAGACTTTATTCCAGTTTTGGAGAGTGGTATGGGTTGAATGTGTCCACCAAAAGTCTCTTGGAAACTCGATCTCCATTGTAACAGTGTTAGGAGGGTGGGAAATCCAGTTACGATTTTTGAAAAATGGGGCTTTTAAGAGGCAATTGGATCATGAAGATTATGCTCTCATAAATGGATTAATTATTCATGGAGCATTGGGTTAATGGTTTAATGGATAATCA